CATGTAGTTTATTATAGCATTTCACCATTAACATTCCACAATACGGTTATATGTGGCTCAATCATCATCTGGTGGACTACTGGTATTTGGTACTTTTGGTCCGTCCGTTCCCCCCCCCCCCCCAAATAACTATCATGAGTTAACCAGTAGTAATGGTGGAGGTGTTGTTGAAGCAGCCAGTTGAAAACTATGACTTTCTAACTTTCTCTGATAATCAAAGTCCTTTTCTTTCAGACTTGATTTGTTGCAATACAGTGTTGTTACAATACTGTACAGTATTGGAGAAGCAAGGTTTCTTCTCATCTCACTAGCAATTTGAAGCACTGATTGAGAAAATTATTTTCCTGAGCAATTTTGGTCATTATTTTTAAGAAATCTGGTATTTTAATTTCTTGGAAACCTGTAAAAGTTATGTTCTCCCTTCCTGTTTTAGAATATTTAATAATTGCGGGTTTTATTTGTAAGCTTTTTTGCCTGATATCCCTAACATACATATTCTTTCTGAAATCTGCAGGTTATTCAGCAATGAACAGAAATCTTCCCTTTCTTTTTCTTTCTGTTCTTGCTTTTTTTAAATAGGAAATAAGCTGGCAAGTGTTATTGAAGGATTGGATTTCATAACCTTCTGCACTAGAAACATAGAGTGGACTAGGGAAGGAACTTGAGAAAGGAGACCTTGTTCACAGCCGCCTGCTTTCATTGTTCAGGATTCCCCATCTTTTCTATCTCTCTTTGATCTTGGATCTAATCCTATCCTTTAACAATAAATACTGATGTATACTTTCAGTACAACAGTAAAAGCTTACATTAATCTGTTAGAGCAGGGGTGTCAAACTCACATTGTCACGACAGCATCACATGACATATCGGGACTTTTTTCCCCTTCGCTAAACCAAGCGTGGGTGTAGCCAGCGCATGATGCATCTGGTCTACGGGCCAGGAGTTTGACAGCCCTGTGTTACGAGGGTAGGAAGACACTGGATGCATGACTCTGACAAGGACTGTATGCATGCATTTCCTTTCCCACACAATCACCAATCCTCCCAGCAATGTTCTGATTATTATGACTCTTAATAACATTGGCATATTTAGAAATCCAGCTCCTACAATTCTGGGAGCTGGTGTTACATATTAAAGTTGTTATGGTTGAGAAATTTTGAAGAGAATAAAATTTCTCTCTCTCACTCTGTGGTTGGATAGGAGTTCCTGTCCTGTTATATACTTTTAAATTTATTGTCATCGGTTATATCTCAACAGTTCTACAGTTCTTATTTTAATCCATAAAACAAAATTTGTACAAGTGATATATTTTTTTAAAAAACTGATTTTGAGTATTATAAACAACAGGACATAGCATAAAATGCATAATATATCTATTAATGTGGCTTTTCCAGATTAAGTTCTAAAATGAGAAGAAATAAAAGACATTGTGCAGTTCTTGTGACTCACTGATGCATCCTATCTTTGCAGTACAAGTTAGGCTCAAAATCTCATTACCCTCTTGGTCAGATAATGTGATTCAGTGCTGTGAATTAGTGTTGTCTAGATATAGGAAGGATAAAATAGAAGGAAATCAGGCTGTCAGAACACAGTACAAATTCCGAAAATCCACAACTAGAAGTAACAGCAAATACATTTAAATTAAATTATTTGGTACATAGGAAAGATCAGTTATTGCAAGCTATTTGTAATATGTGGGAAGGATCTTGGGAGACGGGGAAGAGCCATAGCCAGGGGAAAAGTTGGATAACAGCAACTTAGGCCATGGAAGCAATGTGGCTGTGGCTGTCTCAGAAGGGACCTTCTGTAGTTTCTTGGACCTTAAAGATGACAAGGGAGAAATATGTTTTGCAAAACTCATCCTTGTGAGGTTTACATTTAGCTCATGTGAGCGTGCTTCCTTTCTGGGCCATCTTGTAAGGCTGACATCAGTCTTGCAAGCTCTGAAAGTATATGTCTCTTCTGTTGCCTTTTTGGTCCAGGAAACTAGGAAGGGTTCCTTCTGGGATGTTTGCCATACCCACCTTGCTTCCTTAGACTAAGCTGCCTCTTGTCCAACCATTTCTCTGGCTGTGGCTCTTCCCAACTCCCAAAGTCATTCCCACATACCATTACACCAATAACTTGACTACAGCAAAAAATGTCTTAAAAGATAAATAAAAATCCAAATGCATCAGTAAAAATGGATAACAGGGTTCTCTGAGTAAAGTATACATACAAATAATAGCACTTTGCACTTATTTGTTTGGCATCTATAGATCTCTAGTAATAATTGAGGTAAATTTAAAACTATGTTGGCAATATTTAGTATTTTAAATTATTTTTCAATCATTAAGCCATTGAAAAATTTCCAATAGTGACTAGTGAAACCATCTATATCAGGTGTCAAGCTCACATCGTCAGGACGGCATCATGTGACTTAGCGGGACCTTTTTTTCCCCTTCCCCTAAACCGGGCGTGGGTGTGATACATCCAGCCCACGAGCCGGAAGTTTGATAGCCCTGATCTATATATCGGGTCAGAAAGAAAAGTGATTATAATATTGAATTACAGATAGAAAATCTTACTAATTTCAAGAAATTATACCAAAGAGTATGATATATCATGCTGATTGTATTGGAAGATGTGTAGATTTTATTTAAGTGCTTTATCAAAGCATTTTGTTTATGAACACGTAATGGTATAATTAGAAACATTTAATGTACATTCATTTTGGGGAATTATTGCTTGCATATTGTAAGCATAGATTCTTGATTGCCTTAGGAAGTCCCTTCCCAGTTATTGGTTAAGTTTAGTTCTACAAACTTAAGACTTGATTTACTGGCTGCTATTATAAATTAATTTTATGCTGCAGTTTTAAATAAGACAAGTATTTTCCAGTAATTATGGTTTCTTATTCCAAGGAATTGTGATTAATAGAAAAGGCTTAAAACAGCACTTGATTAAAGAGATCTCTGGCATCCTGTGTTGGAGAAATGTTCTACCAATTGTTATTTTTGTAATTTTCTATTAATGTAGTGACAAGGTCCAAGTAATTAAATATATTATTTACAATACTGTATAGTATATTTCATTTAGATCATAGCTACAAAAAATATATCTTATACACCTATACCATAAAAGCAGGTTTTCAGTTAGTCTTAAAAATCCAATGTGTATTTTCCAGACTATACTTGAAAATTGAAATAGAATGAGACTCCATGTTTACAAAATAAATTACTAAATATGTCTTTTGGAAGATTGAACAGCAGTTAAATGGCTCATACTTCGATATTTTGAGATAACATTTTTGTTTCTTGGTACCAAAGAACTGATAAACTATCAAACATCTAATATTCTATTGCAATCCTAGTATCTCCCAGGATTCTTAAATTATACCAGGAAAGCTTCAGAAAGTGATTTAAGGATTGTGGTCTTTTACCTCAATCCTAAATATATTTACCTGGAAGCTACTTATTTTGTGAACATGACAACTGTATGGCTCAAGGCTGCACATTATACGGTATTATGGAAGTGCTATTCACTACGTCTTGTTTTTCCCCAGTATAAATTAATAGAATGGCATAGTTTGGCCAAAATTGCTGCAACCTGCGTTATATACCAGTGGGTACATCAGACATATTGCACTGTTATTATGACAAAGGTGTATGCAGATATTTTACTTAAATATAGATCTCTCTGTTGTAGTAGTAGGCTTGCAAGTATTCAAATCTAAAATGGTATGAGGATACTTAGAGGATACATAAAGTGAATAATGCACCTGTTCTTTATGTTGCAGATAGTATTCCTATGCACAGAAAAAGCATATTGCCACTAATAATTTAATAAAGACTTTTTAAATGGGCTTTTATAAATGAACTATGTAAGAGCGATCACTTTGCCTGAAATTTTCCTATTTTTAACTGCACCTTGTAATATCTTCATGTATATTTTCCACCAGTGTAATTAATTTTCAATCATGTTTGACTTTTGTATCTCAAAGTACAGATCATGTCTTAATTATAACTGTTTTTAAAAAGCATAATCTTTAAGCCCTTCTTTGCCAAATTGATGATACATTAATGTATTATGACATAATGAATGCATAAGAAAATAAATAACTTGGGAACAGGCTTTCTGCTACATTTCGATTTCAGTTATTTATTTTGCATTGTCATAAATGAGTAGGGAAATAAAAAAGAGGAAAGGCATTAAAATGCATTTAGCCTCTATTGAAATGGAAAATGCTTCAGCCATTTTATGCACTGCCTGGGGAGTCTTAAAAGCAAATCTCTTCTACTTAATTCAATTAAGACTACACTCATTAAAATCTTAAATTATTTGGTGTCTTTTGTTACTAACATTTCAAGGGCAGCTTCAACATACCCTAGAGTCTTCCAAATAAGATATTTACTGAGCCCCTATCACTGGCAACTATCTAGCCTTGCTTGAGCCATTAATAACTCAGTTGGGTGACTATCCTAAATCAAAATGTACTTCCAAACCGGAAGCTTGGTTTTATACCAATGGTTCTCAACCTTTTCTTCACCCCACATCCTCTTTAATTATGCTTTGTGGCCAGACCCTGAAGATTGAAATCATAACATTTCTTGAAGCCTTTACGGGCCACAGATTGAGAACCACTGCTATATACTGTAAAATGGATAAAATGGGAATGTTCTCTTTGTTGTTTATGCCTCTGAATGCATAGTTGGTTTAATACATGGTTTAGGATATTTTATGTTCCAGGGGACAGAGGAATGGAAATATGAGGCAAAACCATGTTTTGGGATATGGGGATTTTAGGGATTATTATTATTATTATTATTTTGGGGGGGGGGAGGCTGGAATCAAATAGGTGTGTTAAACATATGGGTGTGTTAATGCATCTCTAATATGCAAGCATACTTTTTTTAAAAAGAAAAATACCTCAAATCCTTTTTATAACAATAGCACTCAACTCTGAAAGGAAAAAAAGCATAATACAGTAGAAAAGCTTATGTATTTATGAAGCCAATAACTGATTGAAAACAAGAATAATATATTTATTTATTGACTTGGTGCATTGTTTCATTGCCACTAAAAGCAGGCCCACTGAATCCACAAAATCTATTAGAATGGCAAAGGACATACATCAGGAATCTGCCCATTTCTTGGTCACGTTAAGGTGTTTCAGATATTCTGAAGCATACTTGTGTTCAGGAAACTTTGCTCTATCTTCAGCTATTCTTTGCTGCCTTAACGCAAGTACATTTTCTTCATCATGGCGATACTCCTGCTCTTCTGTCATATATGGACAACTTAGCCAATAATGATTTTCAGCTTCAATTTCAAGTCTCCTAATCATATTTGCTTTCATTAAATGAGTAACGAATCTTGGCCGTCTGTGTTTACCAATCCATTGTTTTCCAGGAATTCTGTTTCGAAACAGTACTCGAGTCAGAAACATGCCTGTAAAAAGAAATACAAAATGTTAACTATTTGAAATATTAAGTGCATAAACATTCTAAGTCAATGTATTAGACTTACATTAGCAAAGAACAAAACTGATTTTTGTAAGTTGCATTTAAGTAATTTGTGCCTCAATTTAGAGAGATTCCAGATCATTTACAGAAATTAAGAATGTCATGATACAAATCCCTAATAATGTATTAGGTTCCCAATAATGTATTAGAATAATATAGGCATTCATGGCTCCACAGCTAATCTCCAAAGGTCTTTTGGAAAATCAAGGTTTTTGCCAGATTCTGGAACAACATTAAAATCAAATGAATATTCTTTTTTTCAAGAAAAAGGCAAGGGGGAAGAAATCAGAAGCTCACTTTTTCAAGTTTTTTTTCATGAACTACTAGATATCTCCATGTATCAATACCCAATCTAAAGGGGTCTTTAAAAGAAAGGAAAACTTTATCAAATGCTTTCATGAAATGAACAGTAATAAGAATGGCACCTTAAAGAAATTTGCACACTGACGCCAATTGGTGTACTGCTGTGAAAGACATAGGTATTTTAATTATTTGGATTAATATTTTGCAACTTGTAATGGAATAAAAGTTATCACTGGTATTAACAGTATATAGAATAAGTGAAACCTGGCTCAATAGCAGTAACTGAGAGGGATCTTGGAGTCCTAGTGGACAATCACTTAAATATGAGCCAGCAGTGTGCAAACAGCATCCTCAAAGCCAATACAATCCTAGGCAGCATTTAACACAGGAATAGAATCAAGATAATTTGAAATATTAATATTGCTTAATAAAGACTTCATAAGACCACACCTAGAATACTGCATCCAGTTTTGGTCACTATATTATAAAAAAGTTGAAGACTTTGGAAAGAGTGAAGAAAAAAGCAACAAAGATGATTAGGGGCCTGGGGGCTAAAACATATGGTTGCAGGAACTGGGTATGGCAGTCAAGAGAAAAGGAAGGACTAGGGGTGACAATGACAGCAACATTCCAGTATTTGAGGGGTTGCCACAAAGAAGGTCTGTCTATTTTCCAAAGCACCTGAAGGCAGAACAAAAAGCAACGGATGAATCAAGGAGAGAATCATCCTATAAGGAGAAACTTCCTGAATTAACCAGTAGAACGGCTGGCCTTCAGAAGTTGTGGGTGCTTCAACACTGGAGGCTTTTAAGAAGAGACTGGCCAGCCACTTGATATAGAGCAGGGGTCTTCAAACTTCACAGCTTTTAAGACTTGAGGACTTCAACTCCCAGAATTCCTCCTCGTCATGTGACTTCAGGAATTCGGGGAGTTGAAGTCCACAAGTCTTATTTAGGGATCCAAGATATAGAGTATGGGGGTCTTCTGCTTGAGCAGGGGGGTGGACTAGAAGACCTCCAAAGTCCCTTCCAACTCTTTTGATAAAGACTCTGCCTTTTATTTGGAAAATCCAAATAAAAACAGGATATACATATAACTCATGTTGTAGTCCACTGTTTTTCGACCTTGGCCAATTCTGGGAGTTGAAGTCCAGATGTCTTTTAAGTAGCCAAGGTTGATAAGGACTGCTCTAGTCACCTCCCAAATTGCATTGGGCTGATGTTGAAGACCAAAAAGAAGATTTTGCAGAAAACAGCCGCCGCTCACAATGGCCGGCTACGACCTCCACCGCGATTTTCATTACTCCACAATGATTTTCATTACTGACCTACAGCGTCAGCGTCGCCTATGAGGCCACGGGCCGCCGCACGTTCCCTTGCCCCCACACAAGGCCCTTTCCCGACTCACCGGGCCTCGTCGATGCGTCCTTCTCGGCACGAGCGATCCGGTTCGAGCCAAACAGCGCTCCGAGGGCCGCTACGCCAAACGAACCTCAAGTCTCGCCTGTCGCGAGAGCACCGCAGGCCCCCCCCCCCCACCCACCCCAAAAAAGGCAGGTGAATGCGGACGAGCCAAACGACGCCTGCTACGTCACGGATTTGCAACAAGGAGGCGGGCAGAGCCGGAATGGGCCAATCGGCGCCCGCCGTCCCGGGGAATTCAAAAGGCCGCGAAGGAAAGAAGTTGCCAGCTGCGGTCTGAGGCGAAAGGACGGCGTCCGTTGTGTCTTTGGCGAGCTGTGGAGGCGTGTTTCTCCCGCATTTCGGCGGCTCCTGCGAACGACCGGAGGTATTCAGGGGAGGCTTAGAGTGCTTCTGTCTTGAGGTAGGAGGTGAGGCTTTGCAGGCTCCCGAAAATTGATTTCCTGCAGTCCTTGTTCAGGGCATCCCTCTTGTCTTCTGAAGGAAGAATGGAGGGTTTAGGGAGACTTGAATATTGAAGGGCACCCTGGATTGATTGATTGTAAGCGATATAAGATGAATGTTTTCATCCCCAGAACACATGCAGATAATCAGAGTTGGAAGGGATCTTGTAGGTCATCTAGTCCAACCCCCCCCCCCCCCGCCCAAGCGGGAGACCCTACACCGTTTCTGACAAATGGCAGTCCAATCTCTTCTTGAAGGTCTCAAGTGATGGCACTCCCACAACTTCTGAGGGAAAGCTGTTCCATTGGTTGATTGTTCTCACTGTCAGAAAGTTTCTCCTTGGTTTCAGGTTGAATCTCTCCTTGTTCAGTTTCCATCCATTATTGCTTGTCTGGCCTTCAGGCGCTTTAGAAAATAGCTTGACCCCTTCCTCCCCTTCCCCTCAAATATTGGAAGACCGCTATCATGTCTCCCCTGGTCCTTCTCTTCACCAGACTAGCCAAGCCCAGTTCCTGCAAACGTTCTTCATATGTTTTAGTCTTCAGTCCCCTAATCATCCTGGTTGCTCTTCTCTGTACTTTTTCTAGAGTCTCAACATCTTTTTTGTAATGTGGTGACCAAAACTGGATTCAGTACCCTTGGTGTGGTCTTACTAAGGCTTTATAGAGTAGTATGAGTACCTCTCTTGATCTTGATTGTATCCCTCTGTTAAGGCAATTTAGGATTGCATTGGCTTTTTGGGTTGCTGCCAAAATACCATATATATAATGCAGTACTTGTGCACGTGATTTAATGGATTAACAGAGGTGGAAGGATGGGACTTTATAGATCATCTAACTTGATATGAGATAAGACTTTATAGGCAATAACCTTCATCCTGAATTGCACCCAGAAGCCAACTGGCAACAGTACATCTCACTGCCTGCACTGCTGTATTCTAGACCAGGTAAAGCTTTTGAGTGGCTTTTCAAGGGCAGCCCTCTGGAGAGCACATCACAGCAGTCAAGCCTAACAGTGATGCTTTGTGGGAGAGTCCTTCAACTTTTTCTGAATACATGGTGATTTGCTTAGGGCTTGGGAGGAAAGCAGCATTTCCACAATAGAAATGCAACATGGAGGGAAAACATCTAGAATTGGATAGCAAATATATGTGCTACTAGATAAGTTGTGCCCCTTTAAATAAATATACGTGTGTGGAAAGGCTGTTTCAACTATTTCTAAGCTATATATTTTTTTTCAAAATCTTTTAATGTGTTTAACATAATTTGAAAAGTTTAAAACTTCATTTTCTTTCTGAAATTAATTTTAGAAACAAGCTGTTGCTTTTCTTCAGTATGGACGTGACAGGAACATTCTTCAACAAACTGCGAACTTTGGCAGTCACTTTGGAGAAGCAGGCTAACCATTTTAAGCAAATTTTACTCGAAGATGAAGGTGATAACGTAGTAAATAATTGCTTTTGCTTCAGAAAGCTTACGCTGAGACAAAAACCAAACTTGCATTTTGGTTTAAACCAGGGGTGTCCAACCTTTCACCTTCCCTGGGCCACATTAGAAGATGAAAATTTGGTTTGGGCCGCACATAAAATAAAATAACAGTAACGATACCTGATCATCCAGAAAAACCATAGAAAACATAGTTAACATATTAAATTTATTTGGAAATGAAGTTAGTGAGATGTTTTTATTATTTATTATTAATTATTTATTAAAAATTATTTATTTTTTTATCACGTTTTTTTTATCAGCGGCGGGGGCAGAAGCAGCAGCGGGGGCAGAAGCGGCAGAAGCAGCCGCGGTGGTGGGGGAAGAAGCGGCGGCGGGGGCAGAAGCAGCAGCGGGGAAGAAGCGGCGGCGGTGGGGGCAGAAGCGGCGGCGGGGGCAGAAGCGGCGGTGGAAGCAGCAGCGGGGGCGGGGGAAGAAGCGGCGGCGGGGGCAGAAACGATGGCGGTGGCGGCGGGGGCAGAAGCGGTGGCGGTGGCAGGGGAAGAAGCGGCGGTGGGGGCAGCAGCGGCAGCGACGGCGGGGGCAGAAGCAGCGGCAGGGGCGGCGGCAACAGCAGGAGGTGGCGCTCTGACGGCGCCCGCCTTTTCTCTTGCTGCTTGGCCTGGTGCTCGCCTCGCCCCACCTCGCGCCTGCCTCTCCTCCTCCACCTCGCTGGCTCTGGCACGAAGGTTGGGGTGGGCACTGGGCCGCATTACGAGGCGACCTGGGCTGCATGCAGCCCGTGGGCCGCGGGTTGGACAAGCCTGGTTTAAACAATATAGTATGTAAATTTGGACACAGTGTCCCTCTGAATTCTACACTTAATTTGCATTCATTGGTACATTTCTGAAGCTCATACTGATGTTTCTAGTACTCCCAACCAATGACCATGCTAATTTTTGATATGGCTAGAATATTTCATCTTTTAAATAACAAACATTAATGTATAGTATTGTACATCATTTTCTAAAGATTTTGATTGTGATTATTTTCAAATGTTTTGAAGAATTTGAAGATGATTCTCCAATGAGATATCTACATGAACTGTACTCTGAAGCTAGAATACTAAAGGTAGATATGACCTGCTTCTCTTCATTCTCTTCACCTTCAAATTGCTTTTTTAGAACTTCATCACTTTTATATTAAGAGTTAAGGTCTGATTTAATGGAAGATCAACATATGTGAAAGTTGACTTCTCTGTGTTAGGTAGTAACCCATGATAGTATTTCACATTTCCCAAGATAGAAAACCTGATTTCTTCTATACCATGTCTTCTGAAACCTTCCATGTAAATTTGTAATATTTCCAGAAAACCCACCAATCCTATTCTATTAGGAGATGATAGCCTTATTTTTAAAAAACATAAGTAGCTTTGGATAGCATGAAGTCATAACTAGACATGTTTTTTTAAATAAACTATGTTTTTATTAAAATGAAAAAAAATTTCTTTCTGCTTCTATGTAATAAAGAGCTTTTATGCTAAACCTGACATGTAACTTTTTAACACACACAAATTGACTATTAAAGTTTCTTTATTAAGATCAGTTCTAACTCAAATTAAAAATAAATCATAGGCTGATGCTGATAATATTCTACATACAAGTTCTTCAGAAAGAGATGCTACATACGACTTCATAAAGGCCACCAAAGTTCTGATGAAGAGAAATGCAACCAATCTTGAAAAAATAAGAGATCTCTTTCAGAAATACGGTCACAAGCCACTTATAGGCAAGAATGAAGGTATTTTTCCCCTCAATCTAGAATATTTGGTGCTTTAATATATTCTATAATTTATTTCTGTGTGCATTACTAATATTAAAAAGGATAGACACTTCAGCTTGGTAAAGCCTATATATGACTCTTCATCTTCTATAGCTTTGAAAATCTGATCTTGACATTGCTGCTAGGCTTGGCACTGCCTAAGTCAAAAGTTTAAAAATTTCTATAATATACATATGTACTAAAAAACTATGCCTCAATTTATTTTATTTTTTGGCCTTATGATACAAAGTTTATTGGCCTTCAGTTGTGTAAAAAAAAAGGTCATCTATATGTAGCTTCTTATTCCCATTTCCATGGCACTTGAGGATGCATGAGCATTCTGGTATAACCCATAATTATTTAAACTATTCAGGTTATCAAGGTTTTCATCTCTCCGCTGTGTTTATGGGGTGGGAATGTGATGTAGCATTTGCAATAGTAGTAATAGTTCAGAATGTTTTATCCTCATATAACTAAGTACAGGACATATATGGAATAAAAAATTGGTATAATGATATATGCAGTTTGATGCATCATAATATTAAGCAAGGAACTTTTAGATTAAAAGGTTCATTTATATTGTAAATGCATGCAAACTAAGTATTTATTTAAAAGTGATTTCATAGGACTGCTTGCAAAAAATGAAGACTTTTGTCGCTTTTTAAAAATTTGGTGATTTAAAAAATGATCCTCCTAAACTCTTTGAATATACACATTGCCAGGACATAATATACTTTGGCTTTAGAATTATTCATCTCTTTCTTTTTATATACAATTCAGGTCACTATTATTCAAAAAAGAATGGTTAAAATGCTTGATTTATTGGTTAAACCTTGTTGTATGGTTAGCAAACCTTGGTTACAGAACAAACAATGGTAGTAATAGAAAGACAAGATTTATACAGGAAAAAAGCATCCAAATGTGTGATCTATGTCTTGACTTTTGGTATGCCTTATCACCAAATTCAGTGAGACAATTCTCTTTTTAAAGCCATAAAGGTTGATGATGAAATCAACGCCGGATCAGCTTTATCTGATCAAATAGAGCCAAAACCTCCTGATTTTCTTCAAAAATCATCTGGATCTCATAATCTCCTGGAAACTCCTCAGCTATCAGATTTTGGGCTTTCAAAATATGCCTTTCCAAGTTCTTCGGACACAACACACATTCCACATAGCCAGAAGGAAGAGGTGAAAGGGGATCCATCTGAATATTTGTTACCCAAAGTAGAATATTTCAATATCCACGGGCGTGATCTGTCTGTAAATGATGAAACCACAAATTTAATGGATGACCAAACAATCTTTTTGCTTAATAAGGCAAGAAAAAATAGGTAAGTGGTATAACTGGAAATCATTACAAAAATAAAACGATTATAATTTTTCTGTCTTCTTGTACCTTTTATGTCTGAAGTAATGCAACTATTTTTTGTTATCTTCTTACTTGCATAAGTATATCATTTCTGCTGCTCCATCTCTGAAAATTCCAAGCAGCTTTTAAATAATAACATATTGAAATATAAAGAGACAGTAGCTTTAAACAAGAAGGCTATGATGTATCTCAGTGCATTCAAATCATGCATGTGAAATGTTCAAACATGTCCAAATACCTTGTTTTCATGCTTCTTCAAAACTAATAGGGGATGGTTTTTGAGGTAGAACATCCATGAAAAATTCAAGCATAGGATGCCTTTAAGCAGCACTCCCTACTGTATCTCACACAATGGGCAAATTCAATCCAGAGAAGGCAATCTTGTATATGTACAAGCGCTAAGCCATATTGGACTTTAAAGATAGTAACTAGCACTCTGAAATGTACTTAGAAGCTAATTGGCAGCAGGTGCAGTTCTCAAACAGTAATATTACATGAGTGGACCAGAACAATTTCGGCCCTGCATGCTCAATCATCTTGCAACTTGCAAAATGTCTTCTATGGCAGCCAGCTTCCGTTGACCAGTTGCAGTAAACCAGCCATCAGGTAACAACAACAAAGCTGTTGTGATGTGAACAAAGCTTTCTGTACTAAAATTGACCTTTATGTTGCAAAGGGTCTCTTGGCCAAATCCTCCAGCTCCTTACCTGCTGTTTAAAGAAGAGCTATAAGCCTGGAAAAATCTCTAGCTTGCAAGCCATGGCCTCGTAGGGAAACACAAATCCAATGGAAATCAAAGCTGACCTATCTTTGAATATAGTTGGGAAAGTGTCTATGGAGATTCTCAGTCATCCAGGTCATGGTTGTCCCAAAGGTGCTTTTTTTCAAGAGGTAGCTGGACTTTCTTGTTTTTCTCTGAAGATGTTTTACTTCTCATCAAGAAGTTTCTTCAACTCTGCCTGGATGGCGGGGAATGGAAGGATTTACACTCCTCACAAACAGCTGGTCATTTGCATTCTTTTAGCAAATCGTTAAGGCCACCTGGAGGTTTATCTCTACAATCAGGGTCACCTGAATAGTGCAAATGGGTATGGAACTTTCTTGGAACTCTGTTACAGCCTGGAGATAGATGATGTCATATCCCTCCCCCTCTGTTTAGAGAGGGCTCTTCAGTTTTGACATAGATGGCCTCTTTGACCCCTATTTCAAACCAGCCTCTGTCCAAAATATGGATGTCAAAAGAATGGTCTTTGTCTTTTTAATGCAGATGGACTTCTAGTCCTGATGAGTCCTTCCATTCCCTACCATCCAATCAGAGGTGAAGAAGCTTCTTGGATGAGAAACGAAACAAAAAGAAAAAACCAGTTGCCTCTTGAAAAAAACCACCTTTGAAATAGTTGGGAAAGGTTTGATATATATTGGTTGTACTTTCATTTAAATAACTTTTTTTTTTCTTTTGCTGATAACTTGACCAGATCAGCAGGGGCGATGGTGTCAAATCAGAATCTGGCAGCACTCAGGCAATCAAATGAAGTATGTGGTAAGTCTTGTGTAGGTCAAATAACTTCTGGGATATCTTGTATTCCTAAGTGAAGTTCTGGGAATCAGCTTGAAGATGTCAAAGTTGAGAAACAGTGCCTTAATATATTTCACCCAACATTTGGGATTTGTTAAGGAAAATGCTGCCGAGTTTCTGGACTTGATTCTGCTGAGCCCTCAAATCAAAACTCAGATCTCTTGCTGCAGCATTGCCAACAGTATGCTGGGACACTTTCCCTACTCCCCACCACCCAGATATCTCCAAATAGGTTCTGGATGAGAGAGGGAAAAGGGAACAATCAGGAATTGTAAATTTGCAAAAAAAAATGGTTGAAGTTAATGGGGCACATTAGACTGTCCCTTGCTCTCTTCTGATTCTGCTCAATAAGCCCTTTTCATGAACATATATTTCTTAAACTAATCCTTTGATCCATTTTCTGCATAATCTAACATGTTTTCAGTGTGAATCAATCAAATGTTTTCAGGTTATGATAGTTTTGCTTCACCTGCTGCACCTAACTTCTGCACACCTGGAGTGAAAATTCCCCACAGAAAGACCACTGTTTTATCAGAGTCTCCAGAAAGTAATCATTTGGATGCTCCTAAACACACAACAGAATTACCTCCACCTGATACAAAATCTCAGCAAATACAACCTCTGGTAAGCATTGAGCATCATTTTAGGAACCTCTTAATAAAATGTCTGTCTCATATTGAATCCATTGTATGTACATCTCAAGAATAATATCTCAATGCTTGCTTGAATTAGCTATTTGATACTTTCTGAAAAATATACACTATGTTTCAAAATTTCAGCACTATTTTTTTCTTGCTCTAGCATGTAAGTGCTCCTAAGATACTGCCAGATAATAATCTTATAAAAGACAGTGTTCAACCTGTCCTGGATTCAGACAAATATCTGAAATGTACTGAAGAACCTCCTCCTCCAGCAATGCCAGTATATGAGGACCTCTTCAGTTCACTATTACCACCGCCTGAAATAACTGTGATTCCAAACAACCTCTTGCAGGTTTGATGTACAAAATTAATTTGCACTAAAGTTAGCATTTTATTAGCAAAATTGGAAACGTCCTTTTTTCAAACATTCTTCTTGTTTAAACTTACTTAGATTTTATCCCGGTACAATCCAAATATAAAAGTACCCAGGTCAGCTGCGAAAGGAATTAAAGAAGAAAATGCTTCACAATTTGAAGAAAAGCTGTTTCTTTGTACTGATAACAAAGAAAACAGGTAAGCTTTGAGCAAAAAGTACATTCCCTTGTATTTTGTGACTGTGAAAACTCTGAGTTTTTGAAACTTGATTTTTTTGTACTTTCATGCAATTGAGATATTTTATCTTTGCTTTAAACAGTAGCCAACCAAAATCTTTGCTATCCTGATAGTTTTCTGCTACTATTTCCTTTCCCAAAATAATTTTTAATCCATCTTGGCAGGAAAAAAAAGATGAGCATTGATAGTGTTAATACTCTATATCAGTGGTTCCCAACCTTTTTTTCGCCCCGCACCCCTAAAGAAATTTCACTCGAACCTCGCACCCCTGAAATTTAGACTTTAGGAACTATTGAACACGTCAAATATATGGTAGGATTGAATCTTTTCAGCTATGTATGTGACAGCCACTAAATAACGATACTTAACTCTAAAATGAAAACAAAGTTAATCCATTGCATAATAAATAAAAATGCCAACATATAGCCAATATCCTATTTTTTACCTGGCCTTTTCTCGCACCCCCTGGAATATTGTCTCGCACCCCCAGGGGGTGCAAGCACCCCAGGTTGGGAACCCCTGCTCTATATCAAGGGTAGTCAACCTTTTTATATCTACCGCCCACTTTTCTATCTCTGTTAGTAGCAAAGGTTTCTCTAACCACCTACCGGTTCCACAGTAATGGTGATTTATAAAGTAGGGGACAAGACCCCTACCGCCCACCATGAAAGCTGGAACGCCCACTAGTGGGCAGTAGGGACCAAGTTGATTACCACTGCTCTATATCCTTATATACAATGTTTAGTTTCACAAACAATCCTGAGAAACATTGTTTCTTGAGTGCTTTTTTTTTTTTTTGCATGACAGCCAAGGATAATGTATTCTATTTTTAATGAGCTATCTTACTGAATATTTTGTCTTTTAACTACCTATAATGATCCACTTCGTATCATTTCTCTAAACAAGCCATTGTCACACTTTCCTGACATTATGGTCAAGAAATCAATTTGTGGCTTACTATCTCCCAACCTTTTGTCAATTGAATAAAGATGATACAATTATTTCCTGGGGGGAGAGAGACCTATTATGAAGAAATCAAAATACTCATCCTTCCCAGATGCTTTGTATATAAAGCCCTGCCATTCTAGCCAGTGGACAGGATTATAAAAGAAGAAAAGGTAGAAGGAAAGAAGAAACGGTCAAACAAACCACTGGCAGTTGACAGTCAGCAGAATTAGCCTAAAATACTGCATTCTAACCACTGCGTCACCACAGCTCTTAAGCTAATTGAAATCTAGCTCTCAATTTTTTTAGGAAAAAATGGATGAAAAGTTGTGAGAAATAACTATAATGCTTTTCGGTTTCCCATTAAAACTAACACTGGAAGTGGAAACACAAATAGAATGCTATTTCCATAATTAAGAATCTTATAAAATAAGTGTTTGTACCTATTGAAACATTAATAGCTGAAGATAATAAAACAAGATTGTAATATAAACGTGCTTCGTTATTACATTTGCAGAAAATACTCTGGATGAAATGAAGACTAAATCTGAATTTTTTTCTTCGACTACCAGCCTAAAGGTTCTTTACTTTGTAAAGTATAAATGTTTAATTTTAAACTATTCAATCATTTTTACTCTCCTGTAAAAATTATCAAAATAAAATAATGAACATAAATATGACTAAATATCATTTATATGCTGTCAGTTTATTAAATTATTCATAATCATGTTGTCTTTTTAATCACTGCAGTTGTTAAATGAATCATGCAGTTAAGTAAATCGGGCTTCTCCCATTGACTTTGTTTGTCAAATATATGCCAGTTGCCAAGTGTCCAAATTTGGATCATATGACCATAGGGAAACTGCAATAGTCATGTGAAAATGGTCATAAATGACTTTTTCAGTGCTGTTGTTAACTTTGAATTATCACTAAACAAATGATTGTAAGTTGGGGACTACCTGTATTTGTGTTTTATTCCCAAATTCAGTATTTTATCTGCCCTCAAGTGAATAAAGCCGGGGTTTCTCTCCGAAGCCAAAGATTATAGCAGCTTTGATATATAGAACCAGCGAAGATGTAACTAAAGCATATTAGCACTTTAATGCTCCAATAAGGAACAGAATATTTTAAATTGCTAGACCTACACCTAATTCTTATCAAAGAAAATGTTACTAAGTAAACATTAATTGCTTCTAATCATTTGCCTAGTTAACAGAAAATAGCTTCACCAGCATTTATCAATTCCAGAAAATATATTAGGGATTAAATTAATATTTTTGTGAAGCTATTAGAGAAAATAGATGTTGTAATTCGATGTTTGAATTATTAGTAAAATAGAATTATAGTCAAAATAATATCCTATGGGAAATTTAGAATTGTTTCAACATTTTAGAAAGAAGTTTCCAGTACAGTTACATTTTCAGACCACCTCCTAGAAAGAAAAGCAAAAATGCAACAGTAAGAATTAGCAACACCTTCTCAGATATAGACTCTAATGCAGGGGTGTCACAAACTCGCAGCCCGGATGCATCCCATGCTGGCCCCACCCCTGCCCGGTTTAGCAAAGGGGGAAAAAGTCTGGATACATCACGTGATGACTCAAGTTTGACACCCCCTGCTCTAATATGATTGGCAAGAGATATTATGTTGTGACATGTCAGACATGCAGACTGTACTTACAGCCGATAACCTAGGAATCTCAGCAATAGATGAGAAAATCCAGTGTTTTTCAGTTGGGGAGGGAAGTTAAACTGAGATAAAAAGCTGACACAGGAGGAACTGGAGAACAAGGAAAAAGTATAAAGGAAAGAATTAGACAGCCTTGGACTGCGGAAGATGGGCAGTTCCAGACTGATTAGGAACCATCTAAGGGTAGTCATATTTTTCTGTCCCCATCATTAGTCTTAATCTACCTCCTGACTGCATTTGCTTCCACTATTTTGCTCTTTCTGTTTTCTTCCAGTCCTCCCAACTTTTCTCTCTACTTGTGCAACCTTTTTGTTCCTTTAATGTGGCCGAATTTTCAATATTGCCTATTCGTTTACATATTAAACAGGAAGTACCGTAGCTTCCAGAATAAGGAGCAATGATTTTTTTTATTAAGGAAATTACATTGCTTGCTTCCTCTGCTGACAAAAGAAAATGTGCCTTCTTGCAACAGAAAGTTCCTTCTCTTCCTTGTTCAAAAAAGGAAAAAGGTAGAACTGAACTTTCTCTTTTTCAAAGTTAACATTGAAATTAGTCTGCCAGTACTAAAAATTTGGCACTGAATGCCACACTACTATTTATAGGTAAACTAACTGTAGTTACCAGGTTTTTTCTTTGGCACAATAATGCACAGAGGTGGGTCCTGGTGATTCACGGTGGGAGAGAGCAAACAGTTATGGACAGAAAAGTAAAGCAATGTCAAAAAAATTTTGGAATGTGGCACCTGAAATGAAAGAATACACTCTTGGAGTAGTCTATATTTTTATTACTACAGCATTGTTGATGCAAAAATAAGGACCATGTATTTAATTTCACAATAAAATTATACACTGCTGAAAAAAATAAAGGGGACACAAAAATAAGACATCCTAGATACGAATAAATAAAATATTCTTATTAGATACTTAGTTCATTACATAGTTGAATGTGCTGACAACAAAATCACACAAAAATTATCAATGGAAATCAAATTTAGCAACCCGTGGAGGTCTGGATTTGGAGTTACACTCAAAATTAAAGTGGAAAAAAACACTACAGGCTGGTCCAACTTTGATGTAATGTCCTTAAAACAAGTCAAAATGAGGCTCAGTAATGTCTGTGGCCTCCACGTACCTGTATGACCTCCCTACAACATCTGGGCATGCTCCTGATGAGGTGACGGATGGTCTCCTGAGGGATCTCCTCCTACAACTGGACTAAAGCATCCCCCAACTCCTAGACAGTCTGTGGTGCAATGTGGCGTTGGTGGATGGAGTGAGATATGATATCCCAAATGTGCTCAATTGGATTCAGGTCTGGGGAACAGGCAGGCCAGTCCATAGCATCAATGTCTTCGTCTTGCAGGAACTGCTGACACACGCCAGCCACATGAGGTCTAGCATTGTCTTGCATTAGAAGGAACCCAGGGCCAACCACACCAGCATATGGTCTCACAAGGGGGTCTGAGGATCTCAGATCGGTACCTAATGGCTTTCAGGCTACCTCTGGTGAGCACATGGAGGCTGTGCAGCCCCCTAAAGAAATGCCATCCCACACCATTACTGACCCACTGCCAAACTGGTCATGCTGGAGGATGTTGCAGGCAGCAGAACGTTCTCCACGGCATCTTCAGATTGTCACATCTTGTCACATGTGCTCAGTGTGAACCTGCTTTCGTCTGTGAAGAGCACAGGGTGCCAGTGGCGAATTTGCCAATCTTGTTCTCCGGCAAATGCCAAACATCCTGCACGGTGTTGGGCTGTAAGCACAACCCCCACCTGTGGACATCGGGCCCTCATACCACCCTCATGGAGTCTGTTTCTGAGCGTTTGAGCAGCCACATGCACATTTGTGGCCCGCTGGAGGTCATTTTGCAGGGCTCTGGCAGTGCTCCTCCTGCCCTTCCTTGCACAAAGGCGGAGGTAGCGGTCCTGATGCTGGGTTGTTGCCCTCCTACAGCCTCCTCGTCTCCTGATGTACTGGCCTGTCTCCTGGTAGCACCTCTATGCTCTGGACACAACGATGACAGACACAGCAAACCTTCTTGCCACAGCTCGCATTGATGATCCTGGATGAGCTGCACTACCTGAGCCACTTGTGTGGGTTGTAGACTCCCGTCTCATGCTACCACTAGAGTGGAAGCACCACCAGCATTCAAAAGTGACCAAACCATCAGCCATAAAGCATAGGAACTGAGAAGTGGCCTCTGATCACCACCTGCAGAATCAGAACCTTTATCGGGGATGTCTTGCTAACTGCCTATGCTTTCCACCTGTTGTCTATTCCATTTGCACAACAGCATGTGAAATTGATTGCCAATAAGTGTTGCTACCTAAGTGGACAGTTTGATTTCACAGAAGTGTGATTGACTTGGAGTTACATTGTGTTGTTTAAGTGTTCCCTTTATTTTTTTGAGCAGTGTATTTATGAAATACATATTTCTTTAATGACAAACAAGTTAGACTTACTAGTAAGTTTATTTCATAACAAGATTTTTTAAAAATACAGAAAATAGCTGTTACTTGGGTCAACTTTATAAAAAAAACAGAGGAAACTAATAGCTTGAGGATACACCTTGTACAATAACATAATTCAAACATCAATCCTTCTTAAGATCACTAAGTGTTCTAGTATTCTCACAGTACATTTTAAAAATAATCAGTACAATAATGCAGAAACAAATTGGTGAAGGTCTACAGATGGAAGTCTGATGTAAGGCAAAATATTAGTAAGGTCTCATACGACCAGAAGGAGGTGGCGCTCGATTTGGTGGTGTAATTGCTATGTCAAGATAATCTCCTATCTGAAACTTCTGAGACTGCAAAGTCATGGAATCATCTGTGCCCTTTCTTCCCGACATTGTACTACCAATTTCCTTCACTCTGTAGAAAGAAGCAAAGGGGACATTATTTTCCTTCAGGAAATCAAGTTATTCAAAACCAAAATAGGAAAAACATGTTGAACATAATTATGTAGCTCAATATGAGATGTTCTACTTCCTCTGCACAAGTACTATCTACTCTGACTGACATGAGATTTTCCAAAGCTTTAAATCAAGAACCTGGGTATGAAGATAACATGCCAGAAAACTGAAGTTATGAATATATCCCATTGTGTGTGCTCAGGTGTTTTTTCTTTTTGTCTTTTACATATAGCAATTAGTGTTAACATTTTCCCTCCATTTAGACATTTATTTACCTTATTGATCTCAGCAGCTTTTTAACCATAATAGTAGATTTTGCTTCATGTGTTAATTATCTTCGCCTAAAGTTTTTATTATTAGTTAAGCCTATCTGTAATCTTTCAATACAGCCTTGAGTTTGTGGCCCATTGCAAATACTTCCCAAAAGACTGGGAAGCATGCGAACAAATGCATACTGTATTTTAATGCTTTAAATTTATAAAAAATGTCTACCATGCACCACAGAAAGAATGACAGCTTGAATGTGGTATTGAGAAAGCATATTATAAACAATTATTCAATTTATGCTAAGCTGCCCTACAATTAAGCGATTGCATTGGAAGAACAGATGCTCTCTAACCTAAGTGTACAAAAATCCCACTCATAATTAGCCATCTGATATTTGCAACTTGAAACACTCATTTCTGCCTACCAAATTTCAGCTCTAATTTTCTTTAGAGAATAATTATTATTTTTCCTAGGATCAAATAACTTTCTCTGAAAGAAATCAGATGCTTTCTCCTGAAATAATTGGCATCTACAGTTCAGAGATATATACTTATTTAGCACCTGCCTGACTTTACAAATATATTTTATAGGATAAGGAAAAAGGATATAATTAACCATTACAAGATGACTTTAATTTACAAACACTAAGTTCAGGTTACATCGTTATATTAATTTTTGTTCCTATTGCATGCTACAATTTTCAAACCAAGAACACTGTGTTCATTAGTTGTATTACCTGTACCCAGGCCTTTTAAGATCTGTATAAACTATTGCAAAGTTGAAATGTGTCCCCTTCTTCCTTGCTTCTGGATAGACTTCCTTTACTAAACTGGTCAGCTCTTTTAAAGTTGCATCCATCCTGAAGGAAAACAAAATCAAGGTCAATTTAGTAAGCGTAGATTCTCACTTTATGGTATTAATTCTAAGAACTTAAGGATCCACACTGAAAAGTATTGCATCAAAAATATATATTTCCCATTAAATACTTCACAAATATTTCTTTTGGTAGTAAACATCTTTTTTCAAAATTGGCTTTCTCTCATTTCCCAAATTATGTGAGTAGCAGAACAGAGATATTTTGCATTTTCTCATGTTGTTATGTCTTGATTCTAATAAGCACTTAGCTCTTTTTTGTAAAGCATTCATCATAGAAATCCATACATACATAGACCATTGTTTTTCACAACCACAAGTAGTAAGCAAAGGAAATTAAAGGAGGAATAACAAATTTAGCTTACCTCAGCACCACAGCCCTCCACATATTTTCCTTTGTCAACCATCCTTGCTTTCATCAAATCCGCACTATTCCTTTAGATCCTTCAAATGTCTCCCTTATTTTATTTTGAGGAGAATAATCTCAAATATGATCTCAATCTTGATCTTCTTTTTAAGTTACTGACCTTTCATATACTTTAGTTATTCATTCTATAAGAGGAAGCTTCCTAAAATTCCTTTTTTGTATCAAAATCACCTTTTAATTCACATTCCTGACCTTATTTCATTACACACACTTCTTAAGTCAACCCATTCCCATTATATTCAATATCTTAAGTTTCTCCTAACCTAACTAGGTCACTTCAAGTGTCCAAGTGGTAAGAAACTCATTTATTTTTGCTTCTTTTGTCAAACATTAATTATATCAAATATTAACCACTGCATTTTCATCAATATTTGCATGACTTAATTTTCCATGCATGTAGCCATTCAAATAGAATATACAAACCATCTACTTGCTCTAGTAGCCACATATAATTTGCAATCATACAGTCTTTTTTCCTCTGAGACATACCAAGTTCGATCTTTCAGAGTTTAATTTTAAGATGCTTTGTTATATTTTGAAGCTTAATCAACATATCTATCCACAATTATATTTGTACAAGAAAAAATCAGAGACAATTCTACAAACTAATTAGG